TGGGCAGGCGGTGGTGCCGGCCTCTGGCACAGTGCAGCTTGTTTCAGCCCTGCCTTGTCCCCGCAGTACAAGCAAGTGGAGCAGTACATGTCATTCCACAAGCTGCCCGGCGACACGCGCCAGCGCATCCACGAGTACTATGAGCACCGCTACCAGGGCAAGATGTTTGACGAGGAGAACATCCTGGGGGAGCTCAGCGAGCCGCTCAAGGAGGTGTGCACAGGCACCCCAGTGCTGCTCACCTGGGGGAAGGGGACTGGTGGTGTTCGGGTCAGGCTCGGGGTCGTCGCCGCTAATCTGCTCCTCACCCCACAGGAGATCATCAACTTCAACTGCCGCAACCTGGTGGCCAACATGCCCCTGTTTGCCAACGCGGACCCCAACTTCGTGACTGCCATGCTGACGAAGCTGCGCTTCGAGGTCTTCCAGCCCGGGGACTTCATCATCCGCGAGGGCACCGTGGGCAAAAAGATGTACTTCATCCAGCATGGCGTGGTCAGCATCCTCACCAAGGGCAATAAGGAGACAAAGCTGTCTGACGGCTCCTACTTTGGAGGTGAGGCTGGGCTGGAGGACCTGGGGAGCTGTGGGGAGGGAGGAGTGGGGGCATCCCCGATGTTTCCACCTGCTGCACCCCCTGCTCGTCCCCTCTTGCCCAGTGCCAGGGCTGTTGGGAAGGGAACGGGTGGCTGCATCATCCTGACACCCAGACCCGTCTCCCTGCAGAGATCTGCCTGCTGACGCGGGGCAGGCGCACGGCCCGCGTGCGAGCTGACACCTACTGCCGCCTCTACTCCTTGTCGGTGGACAATTTCAACGAGGTGCTGGAGGAGTACCCCATGATGCGCAGGGCCTTTGAGACCGTGGCCATGGACCGGCTGGACCGCATAGGTGAGGAGCGGCCACCTCTGTGCCTGCTTGTTTTTTCCATGGGTGATGATGGCATCATGGGCCCTGTGTATCTGTTTTGTCCCTGCTTCCCCCTCTGCCCCAGCCTGGACCTTCCCCTTGGTCTTGCTTCCCTTCAGCACACTGGTGGGGTTCTACTGTCCCTTCCCCACTGCCACCCTGCCCTCCATGGTGTCCCCAAGAGCCAGTGCTCCTGGGGTTGATGATGCTTCTGCCTCTCACCCAGGGAAGAAGAATTCCATCTTGCTCCGCAAGCGAGCCGAGCACAGCGCGGGGCCGATGAACAACGAGATGATCCAGCAGATCGTGAAGCATGACCAGGACATGGCCCACAACATCCAGGACCTGCAGCAGATGGCCATGGGCCGGGAGCTGAGCGGCAAG